TTAAGGATTTGGTTTTGAAACAATTTCAAATTACACCTGAAACTTACAGAGTAAAAATTAGAGCCCTTAAGAGAGGGACTGGACTAAGTAATGTGGCTTATGTAAACCAGATGAAGGATCTGTTAGATAAATGGGTCAAAGGAAGGGGTGTAACTAGTTTTGAAGGAATGTGTGATTTGGTTGTACAGGAGCAGTTCCTGACTATGACCAATGATGATGTAAAAGGGTGTTTATGGGATAAGAAAATAGACTCAGCAGAAAGTCTTGCTTCTTAGGCAGATCAATACGAGCAGTCCCAAACCATCAGAGAGGTGGGGCAAATCGTAACAAAGTGGGTGGAGGTAGCAGAGAGGAACAATGCTGGTTGCAGTTTGGGCAGATACCAGAAGGGCCACACCAAGACCACACCATACCACCGGGGGCAGCCCAAGGCCCCACCTACACCCCATGGAAAACCCCAGACACCTTATAGTCTCACCACACCATTCCCCAGCAACCCACCTCGCCCAGTGACCAGTCATCTGGGCGATGTTTTAAACGTAACGAGCTGGGGCATGTAAAGGCCAACTGTCCCAAGAACCCCAACTGATTACAGTTCATTGCACCGGTGTCACACCAAAGGTCTTCAGGCCCAGATGCCCTCAGAGCAAAGGGAAACTGTGAGTGTGGGCGGGAAGAAGGTTATCACGTGGAGGGACACTGGAGCACAGGTGTCAGCTATCCACCAATCCTTAGTGGACCCTAAATTCATCAACCCAGAGGCCCAAGTGACGATTCAACCCTTAAAGTCAAACTCTTTTGACTTGCCTACAGCCAAGTTGCCTGTCCAGTACAAGGGCTGGTCAGGAATGTGGACTTTTGCAGTCTCTGATGATTATCCCATTCCCATGCTGCTGGGGGAAGACATGGCCAACCATGTGAAGCTAGCCAAGAGGGTGGGAATGGTCAGCCGCAGCCAGACTAAGCAAGCCTTCACGCCTATCCCTGTTCCTGAGCCTTCTACAAGAGCCCCGATTGTGTTACCAGAGACCCAGACTGAGGTAGTGGAACCGGACCGCATGCCAACGTCTGAGACAGCAGTAGTGGATCCAGTCGCAGAGACCCAGCCAGAGCCAGTCCCAGAACCAGAACTGGCAGAGCAACCAGCACCAGAACCATTGCCAGCACTGAATCCAGAACTTGCAACCCCGTCTGCAACTTCAACACCAGAGGGCACCACCGAACCTGCACTGACAGCAGCAGCTAAACCTGCGCAAGAGACTCAGATGGAGCCTGAAACACAATATAGTGCACCAGCGGAGAGCGGTTCACAGTCAGTGGAAACAGCCCCAACACCTACATCATTTCCAGAGAGACCAAGCCCAAGTTCACCATCCAATGAGGAACTGATGTCTCCAGCATCAAGGGAACAGTTCCAGGCCAAGCAGAAAGCAGATAAAAGCCTCCAGGGAGCTTGGACCGTGGCATAGAGCAACCCACCGCCTCTCAGCTCTTCTAATCAATCCTGGTTTGTTGTAGAAAGAGGACTTTCATGCAAGGAAACTCTTTCTGGTGGGCACCACGAAGAATGGCAACCTCAAAGACAGTTGGTAGTTCCAACTAAGTACCGGGTAAAGCTCTTGAGCTTAGCCCATGATCATTCTAGTGGCCATGCTGGGGTGAACAGAACCAAAGAACCCTTCCACTGGGAGGGAATGGGCAAGGACGTTTCTATTTATGTCTGGTCTTGTGAGGTGTGCCAAAGAGTGGGAAAACCCCAAGACCAGGTCAAAGCCCCTCTCTAGCCACTCCCTATAATTGAGATTCCATTTGAATGAGTAGATGTGGATATTCTGGATCCTTTTCCGAAAAAGACACCCAGAGGAAAGCAGTACATACTGACTTTCATGAATTTTGCCACCTGATGGCCGGAAGCAGTACCTCTAAGCAATACCAGGGCTAAAAGCGTGTGCCAGGCATTAACAGACATTTTTGCCAGGGTAGGTTGGCTCTCCGACATCCTTACGGATTCGGGAACTAATTTCCTGGCAGGGACCATGAAAAACCTTTGGGAAGCTCCTGGGGTGAACCCTTGGTTGCCACCCCTTACCACCATCAAACAAATGGACTGGTGGAGAAGTTTAATGGAACTTTGGGGGCCATGATATGTAAATTCGTAAATGAGCACTCCAATGATTGGGACCTAGTGTTGCAGCAGTTGCTCTTTGCCTACAGGGCTGTACCCCATCCCAGTTTAGGGTTTTCACCATTTGAACTTCTGTATGGCCGCAAGGTTAAGGGGCCATTACAGTTGGTGAAGCAGCAATGGGAGGGGTTTACGCCTTCTCCGGGAACTAACATTCTAGACTTTGTAAACAACCTACAAAACACCCTCCGAAACTCTTTAGCCCTTGTTAGAGAAAACCTAAAAGATGTTCAGAAAGAGCAAAAGGCCTGGTATGATATACATGCCAGAGAGCATTCCTTCAAAGTAGGGGACCAGGTCATGGTCCTGAAGGCGCTCCAGGCCCATAAGATGGAAGCGTCATGGGACGGGCCATTTATGGTCCAAGAGCACCTGGGAGCAGTTAACTATCTCATAGCATCCCCCACTTCAAACCTAAAGTGTACTATGTTAATTCTCTAAAGCCCTTTTATTCCAGCTTCACGCCGATGTTCTCAGCCACCCCAAAATGGACCGAACAGGCATACCACTCCATTGACACAGATAATGCTCGCCCAATTAGAGCCCAACCTTACTAGGTGGCTCCTCAAGCCAAAACTGCTATAGAACAGGAGATCCAGGACAAGCAACAGATGGGTGCAATCCACCCCTCTAACAGTGCATGGGCATCTCCAGTGGTTCTAGTTCCCAAACCAGATGGGGAAATATGCTTTTGCATGGACTACCATAAGCTAAATGCTGTGACTCGCCCAGACAAGTATCCAATGCCACGTACAGATGAGCTATTGGAGAAACTGGGACGTGCCCAGTTCATCTCTACCTTAGACTTAACCAAGGGGTACTGGCAAGTACTGTTAGATGAATCCCCCAAGGAAAGGTCAGCCGTCAACACCCATGTAGGGCTGTATGAATTTAATGTGCTCCGTTTCAGGCTGCGAAATGCACCCACCACTTTCCAAAAACTTGTAGATAGTCTCCTAGCGGGATTGAGAGAATCTGCAGTAGCCTATCTTGAAGATGTGGCCATCTTTTCTGATTCATGGGCAGAACACCTGGAGCATCTACAAAAAATCTTCGAGTGTGTAAGGGAGGCAGGACTAACTGTTAAGGCTAAAAAGTGTCAAATAGGCTGTAAATGTGTGGACTCACCCCTGCGGTGCCTCCTGCTAGTTGTCCATGGGAATTAGCTCTGCCAGCCTTGGAGTGCCTTCTGCAGGCCGGTGATCCGCCTTGCCACTTGGCCCCCGTGTCCCTCCCGGACCCAATGCCCCTTTATCTGGGGGCTGCCCCCTGGCAGTAACCCCTTTCTCTTTGGGTCTCCTCTCCCCAGGGAACCCCCACCCACTAACCCCACCTCACCTCAGTGTAAGGCTACTGCCAGTCACCATCTAGTCCCACTCCCTGGGGCAGACTGCAATATAAGCCACTCATCATAGGCAAGGTTGGGTCTCGACCTGCTGCCCCTCTCTGAAACGCAGTGCCTCTCTGGGGCCTTGGACAAGGCCCTACAGCCTGGGGAGTTGCCAGCCTGGAGCTCCCCAGTCCTGCCTCACTTTAGGCACCCTGAGCTTCCCAGCAGCCAGGCCCTTCTCTCTCTGAAGGCAGAGAGAGACTGTTTGAGCTTCTGGCTCGCAGTCTCTTATAGGGACCAGCTGGGCCTGATTGGGGCGTGGCCCCAGCTGTTACTACCTTCCCCAATCAGCCCAAGCTTTCCTTCCCAGCCTCAGCCCTCTCCCAGGGCTGGCTTTAACCCTTTCTGAGCTGGAGCAGGTGACCACCCCGCAACACAGGCCTAAACAGAGTGACTTACCTTGGACACTAGGTGGGTCAAGGAACTATCAACTTCCTACAGGCCAAGTGAATGCTATCCAAAAGTGGCCTGTCCCAAAGTCATAGAAACAGGTCCAATCCTTCTTGGGCTTGGCCGGATATTACAGGCGATTTGTACCTGATTGATTTTAGTGTCCTAAACATAAAGGGTCTGGTCTGTACTTTTATTAAAGGCAATTGGTTGGTATATTATTCTCAAGCCTCCCCAGGAAAGGGGGTGAAGGGGTTTGGGGGGATATTTTGGGTGGGGTTAGGGCTCCAAGTGGCCCCTCCCTGAATGTTTCTTTAAATCACTTGGTGGTGGCAGCAATACCATCCAAGGACAAGGAAAGGAATTTATGTCTTGGGGAAGTTTTTAACCTAAGCTGGTGGAATATAAGATTAGGGGGTCTTTCACGGGGGTCCTCATATCTGTACCCCAGAGTTCAGAGTGGGGAGGGAACCTTTTAGCATTAGAGCATTAGATATCCTCCAGTCCAATATGTCCGAGGCTTTAGCCTGTGTCCAGGCCCAACAGTGGCTATTGGACATAGCTAAGTCTATTGTGAGAGATGGTCTTAATGGTGTCTTACCTATAGAATTAAAACAAATTATGTGGACTAATGTACGTAATTTTGAAAGAGCACCAGCAATGGTGGAAGCTTGTAAACTTCACGTATCTCCACCTTAACAAGACCATAGTTGCTTCTGTGATAACCCTAAAGAATGCAATTAACGAAACAATCTATCTGATAATCCCTTTGGGCATGTATGTTAATGAATCAATGCCCATGCCAATGGAATCCAGCAAGTGGGTTCATGTTAGGGGAAAACAATATTTTACCCTCAATATGGAAGCATGCACAGAACAGAAAGGAATGGGTTTCACTTGTACCACAGGAGTATGGGAAGAGTCACATGTGTGTCTTAACCCTCAATATGGAAAATGTCATTATCAATGGCACCATTCTTCACTGTTTAACAACTCAGTGGTAGTTCAAGTAGCCAGACATTGCATATGTATGCATAGTTTATGTAAGTGCTTTATTGTCAACATGTTCCACGAAAGTGTACATAACTCTAGTTTCAATCTGTGTCTTTGTTCAATATTTTCTATCCAACATTACATTACATAATGTGCAATCGGAAACGTTTAGGACTCATTATGCAGTATACCAACATATTGAACTGGTGCATATAGGGGCAGATCTTAATGCCTTAAAGCACCTAATGCACCATAAGCATTTGGGATATTATATGCAACGATTGCAGGTAGAGGGAATGAGCACTTTACTAACGGTGTATCACTCTGTAGCAGCAATAAAATGAGTGGAGGAAGAAACTCATCCTTCGCATTGGTGGGAGAATATTTTCAGTACCAATTCAGGGGATATTAGGCAAGCGTGGGAAATAATGATGCACCCCATCATAGTGGTACCGATCACTCAAACGTTAATAATCTTCTACCTCATGGGTTTGACCATATACTCTTGTTGCTCTCGTAAAAAGAAAGTTGTTATTATGCCTTTTGATTTAACAAAGCTCAATTGCTAAGGTTTGCACTTTACATGCATTGTAATAATCATTGTATTGCACAGTTATATTGCACTTTGTTAAATGATAGTTTTGTATGATCTTAAGGTTATTTAAATTGCTTTATTGTTATAGCACTTTCCACCTTTATGTGTCTGTGTAATGATAGTACCTTTGGAATTTCCTCAGGACTATCAAGGAGAGGAAATATAACATGGTTTTGTATATTAAATAGAGATTATGAGTTGTTTTGTGCTTTAAAATAAGTTATTCTTTATGCCTTTACATTTGATTAAGGTATTTGATCATGTATTAGATATGGAGTCTGAAATTCAAAATGGCGTGCCTGACAAACAACAGTTCAACAAGAAGCTAAACAAAGATGGAGTCGAAGTTTTTGCACCCTTTTGGAATTTTGGCGGGAAAAGCAGTTAACGGTCAGCACAGACCTGGCTCAAACAGGTTCCAGCAGGGGAGGTGCCAATTTTACCTCAGAACCTTGGTGCGCTTGTGCCTAGATAAACTGTGAGCACCCGCTGCCTAGTTGCCATCTGTCCTGGAGGCAGCCACAGTACTGTTGTGTTTGTGCGGCGACATGGACCAGAAGATCAGAAGATCATCACCTGCAAAGTAAAGGAAGACATCAGCATTAAGAACTGTGATTGTGCTTACCTCTGAATTCCACATCATTTTCTGAGAAAGGTATAGAGGTCCTGTTGATCGCTCACCCTTGGGTGATCGCAGAGCCAGGCCTCTCATCAGTATCAGCATATCCTCTTGATCTCTCTCTAAGAAGTGGTTGAGACCCTGGGTCCATCAGCTGCCTATGACAATGGTGTCGTACCATCTACTGCCTATCAACACCTAGAAATGGTGCAGTATCTGGGGTTTTAGGTTTACTTGTTTATTGCCAGAGTACCTATTTGGTTGGGCCTGGGTTTTAAACTCAAACTGTCTAACCACATCTCACTGTTTCTTATTAAGTTATCTGTTTAAATAAAAGCTGTTATTTGTTTACTTTATTCTTCTCTCTTCTTTATCCATTTGCATCGTGGGATAGGGAGGCACACTATCTTTCCCTTCTAATACCTGGGTGATAGATAAGGGTCCAAAATCCTGCTAATTAGCTGCAAATTATAGCTGGCCTATACCATCCTCACTATCATAGTTAACATTGCAGGGTTAACACTCTGGATCCCTAGTTTGGAACCTATGACCCCCCACTCCTGAACCTGTTATTCCTTAGTTATTGCCCCATCATCAGTTGATTCCCAGGTCCAGTGGCTCCTCCCACATGGCTGGGGGAGGGGCCTTTAGACATAGGCAGGCTTGCACCTGCCCGCCTCTCAGAATTTCAATAAGGCTGAAAGAAGTCAAGGCTCCTCCCACCCACCTGTGTGTGTCACCACTCTGCAAAGATTGCTTCCCCATCCCCCATGGTATGAGCCATGGTCTAGCTAGCCCCTTAAAGTTAGTAAAAGTTTTGCATTAGTAAGGACAGTGACATTAGGTCAGCAAATTGTTTTAAATATAAATTTAGACTGATACCATAATTACAACTTCTGAGTTAAAGGAAGGGCTCATTTATGCTTACTATGGTGCAATGCAGGAGAAAGGCATGAGGAACCTGCTCCTGGCTAATGCACCAGTCTCTTCCGGGGGCTCTGGCCCTGCACCTCAGCTAGCAAAAGCTGGTGTGGGGCCATGAATACACTTACTACATGTTGTCCCTATGAGATTTGTACAGCATCTGAACTCCCTGAGGACTGTGGGAACATTGAGCCTACCTTTCAGAAGTGCTGCAGACCTCTGCAAACCAGCCCATTGTGACTGTGGGAGGCTCAGTGCCTCCAAGAGCTGGTGCTGAAGGGTCATCACCCCTGACTGCAGGCTGCAGCTTAACAGGCTGTTTGACTTACAGTAAAAAGAAGAACAGGAGTACTTGTGGCACCTTAGAGACTAACAAATTTATTAGAGCATAAGCTTTCGTGGACTACAGCCCACTTCTTCGGATGCATATAGCTTACAGTAGTAACTCTGTATAGCTGCACGCCATTAGATGCTTAAACAGCTACTATGCCATTGAAACACTTCAGCATAAGTAAGCACGTGGTTTGGTACATTCAAGACAAAGCACTTAAGCATCTCACCAAAGAAAGGGACCTACTTCCTTAAGGCCAAAGGAATGTTTGCAACTGTTTTATCTGGGGTGGGGGTGCGCCTTTATTTATCCAAATCTCAGAGTGAGGTTAACCTGAGAGCTCTCTCCAACGTACCAGCCCATGCACCTTCCTTTACTCACAGGAGGTGAGTGAAAAATAGTCCTTGTGTGTGGGAAGTGAAACATAGCGCCGACAGCCCGGGCTGTCGTGGGCCGGTGTAGTGTACGATACTGCTCTGCGTAGTACAATCTCCACGTATCAATAAGTGTTACCGGTAGCACATTACTACGCGGAGCGGTATCCTACACACTACACCGGCAGCACGGGCTACACTGGGACTGTTAGGCAGAGCGCTTGGTGGAGATGCTGCAGAAAGGCTCTCGTGAGTAGGGCGCATGGACCAGCCACGCCGAGGCTGCTGCTGCTAGGGTCTGCCCTTGCTCAACACTGCGGAGGGGCTGGCTCTGCTGGGGCGCCCCACGCCGCTGCCCCTCAGGGTGTCGGGAGCGCACGGCTGGGGCAGGGGAAACCAACCCCGCAGCAGCAGCCCCGCGGGCCGGGCTCCCTCCGGACCTACAGACAGTTCCACGCGGCAGTGCGCAAGCGTACTAAGGCAAAGACCCCCCCCCTCGGATTTTCTGAACGGTTCCAAAATTCCACGCGCCGGGAGCGCGCGAGGAGATGCCGAAGGAAGGTTCCGAGCCACCTCCCCCAGCGAGGCGGCACCGCTCGCAGTGCGCATGGGCGGTTGCCAGGGCGGCCGTATCCAGTGAAGGTTTAAAATCTGCTGCGCATGCGCACTACTGGTTCTGGCTCCAGCGAGGGGACGCCACATTAGGGCAGCGACCGCCGCGCTTCAGGCAAAGCCGGGCCGGGCCATTCCGCGCGGCCTCCCCTACCTCGAGCACGGGGCGCCAGAGCTGGGCTCTCCCTGCCGAGCCTCCCTCCTGATGCCGCTGCCCGCGGCGCGTGTCTAGCGCCGCTCCGGATCCGGCGCCGGGCGGAGGAGCCGCGGCGAGCGGGGCCGGCCGGGGGCGCGGGCGGGGTGGATGGATCCCCGCGTGGCCTGGATCCAGCCCGAGCAGAAAGGCCCCGCCAATGCGCTGTGGATGCAGATCTGGGAGACCTCGCAGGGCGCGGGCGGCCGCGGCTTTCCGCATTACCTCTGTCTCAACTCCCCGGCGCTGGACCCCGCCGCCTCCCCGCCCACCGCCCGCGGCCACGCCAGGCTTGGGCCGCCCGGGGGCGACGGCCTGTGCTGCTCCCCGCCGCCCTCGCCCCCGGACCTGCTGACTGAGCTAGTCCCCGCCGCGGGCTCCGTGGGGGGGCAGCAGCGAGGGAGGGAGGCGGCTACAGAAATCCCCCTCCGTGTCCTCCTCGTCCTCCTGCTCCTCTGTGGAGTCCGGCACTGAGAGCCCCGGCTTCTCCTCCTCGGGCTCCTGCAGCAGCGGCTCCTCCTGTGGCCGGGCCGGGGCTCGCGGCAGCGGGGCTGGACCCGGGGAGTTTTTTAACTTCAGCGAGAGCAAAGTGAACAGCGTGAGCGGCCAGCGCCCCGCGCACCAGCCCCCGCAGCCCGCGGCGAGCAGCCCGCACCAACCTCCGCCCGCCTCCCCGCAGCAACAGCATCAGTATCATCCTGGCCGCAGGAAACGGGAGAATAAAGCTAGCACGTATGGGATGAATTACCTGCTATCCGGCAGCCGGGGGGCCGCGCTGAACAACTGTCCCCGCCAGCAGGCGCTTCGGCAGCCGCCGCAGCAAGCGCCGCAGAGCCCCGGCACACCCTGGAAAACCAGGCAATACAGCTTGGGGGTACAGGGGTGAGTACCCCCATCCGGGGGAGGGTGAGCAGCTCCCCTAGAGGGGCGAGCATGGAGTGGTGGAGAGACGGGGCTCTGCCTCTTGTAGCCATAAACTCTAGGAAATGTCCTCTTCCCCTGTTATAGCCAATTCAGGGGGGGAAGAGTGTTGGCTCCTGCCAGGGGTAGGTTTGGGAGGCACAAACTAGTCTGGAGCGGGCTCCGAGCCGGCTGTAAAAATAGTAAAAGGGCAGGAGGATTAAATGAGCCTCTTATAAAAAGTATTTACATAAATCACTGCTTTGGGCCCTGTACTGCGATCATACGGATTCGGGTAGCTCCATGCTGGCAGGGCAGGCCCTGAGAGGAGGCAGAATTAAATTTGTATGGCCTTCTTTGGCCGTAGACATGAATATTGTAGAGTGGGCATTGGCAGCCAACCTGCGTATTGGCAGCCAATGAGAAGATCTGTCACACTAGAAGTTGGGTCCTGTTTTCCAAATGCGTGAAGGGAAAGGTTGAGATTGAAATGTCATATCAAAGACACTTTTGGATTAAAGGGTCATTGTAAGGAAATAATTCCAGTGTACTACAGAATGATTTGAAAAGCCATTCTTGGTTATGAAAAACAGTTGTAGATGATATAAAATAATTCATTACATTGCTTGAAGAGTTGAATTGATGAATGTTTGAATGGAGTTCTCTTTTTCTCAAAAATAGGAAAACACTTTAACTAGAGAAGTCTCTACTACTCCATAATGCATATTTCTCTTAATAGGTTGATATTGCCATTGATAGGCTTTAAGGCTAGAAAGGGACCATTAGATAGTCTGGGCTCCTGCATAACAAGCTGTAGAATTTCACCTAGTTACCCTTGCACTGAGCCCAGTTACCTTTTGAATTAAAGCATCTAATGCAAATAAATTAATTTTTCACTTCATTTACTCAGCTTTCCTTCTCTCCAATCAGAAAAAAAAATGTATTTGTACAAAAAGTATTGAACACGCTTTTTTCATATCAGTTTGGAGAAACGGCATGAATAGTTGTTCATAAACTTATTTTTGGAACATATGAAATCCAGAGCTGTTGAATGTAGATAGAAATAACAGATGCAATTCATTTTTACAGAAGACTTAGAAAATACATAAATATCTCTTACTGTGGTTAGTATACAATGAGAGACAAGGAAGGGGTGGCTGAATACAATTTCTAGAGGTACAAAAGATTACACATTAGTAAAGTTAGCAAGATCAAATTAATCTAGCAACAAGAATAACATTTCCTTGGTTGTGTTATGACTCAACAAATTCTGTATCTTGGCAGGGGTTGGACTAGATTGCCCTGGGTTCTTTCTAACCCTGTGATACTATGACTCAAAGCAGCAGGTTCTCATAGTGCTATAGTGCTTGTCAAAAATTGTGAAAGAACAATATTAAGAGTGTTATTTCTTGTAACTTTAAAAAAGAGCCATACAACTTAATTAAACTGAAATAGTTTCACTTATTTAATTTTCTGGGCCAATTTCAGATTTCTGCTGAATGGTATCAGGAGGTAGCCGTGTTCATCTGTATCCACAAAAACAACAAGGAGTCCGGTGGCACCTTAAAGACTAACAGATTTATTTGGGCATAAGCTTTCGTGGGTAAAAAAACCTCACTTCTTCAGATACATGCAATGAAGAAGTGAGGTTTTTTACCCACGAAAGCTTATGTCCAAATAAATCTGTTAGTCTTTAAGGTGCCACCGGACTTCTTACTGAACGGTGTTTGTCAATGTTTCTAAAACATGTTCTTTCTCTGCACCACCCACACTGACACTTGAAAAATAAAAATTCATTGCATGCACTGAAAACAGATAAGGGTGTTTCAGAAAGTATTCAGTTGTGTTCAGTGTTAGTGCTTTGAATTTAGTTTAAACTTTCTTCATATTGCAAATGCAATTAGCTTCTATTTCAGTATTTCTTTTTACTCAGTCTCACCATTTAACTGTTTTTTCTGTCTTTGGGCACGTCTGCACTTGCCATTTAAAGCGGAAAATGTCCCTTTTTGTGCAAAAACACTTGTCAATGACTTTTTGAGGTGAAACTCAGAAGTGTTACAGTGCAAAAAAACAAACAAAAACAAACCCACCTCCACAAGAGGCGTACAGCTCTTACCTGTGATGCTTTTGCGGTGATGTGTGCAAGTGAAGACACATCCTTTCTGTTTACACGGCTTTTAGCCTCTGGAGGATATCTCATAGTGCCTTGGTGACCACTCTGGCCATCAGCTCTGCTGCTCTGATGCCAGGTAAACAGATATCCATCCCTCCCTCTGTAAAGCCCCTGGAACTTTGAAACTCCCCTTCATGTTTTTTTGACAAGTGCTCACTTATCATTTGGCCAGGTGACAATTCCTGCTCCACTGAGCAAATGATCCCCTGCTTGGAGCAATGTTGAGCTACTGGAGCTGATCAGTGTTTGGGGCGAGGAGGCTGTGCAGGGATCAGGATGCCCCCAATCACTCCCCCCCTTCCCACAAGACTCATCCTCAAAATGTAGAGAGCTGCACTGTGGGATAGCTGCCCTAGAACGGCTACTCTCATCAGCGATGGAAGTGCTGCTAATGTAAACACAGTCTGATGGCTGAAGAATTAAGTGAATACACAAACCAGTGCTGTACTTTCACTGGTTCTCTATCACCAGTGAAACTTACAGTGCAAAAACTCTGCAAATGTAGACATACCGTTAGTGTTAACTGCCTTATACTCTTCTTTCCCTCTCTTCTGGGTAATTCACTTTTATTCTGTTCAGTGTGTGTTTTTGTGTGTGTGTGTTTGTGTGTTTTTTGGAAGAACCATGTTAAGTTGACATTGATTCTTAAAAAGGATGGATGAGATATATTGTAACATCCTTTGTGCCTGTCTCTTTAGACTTACCGTGAATACTGTGCTGGTAAGTAGGCATTCCACAGATTTGAATAGTCATGTTAATGTAATATAGGATGTCTATCAACATAATTTCTTAGTTAGGAATAGTTTTGACAGGCGGTCAGTTCTCATTGTAAATAGAGAAAAACAGTAAAGCTACAGTAAGCTACAGTAAAAGCTTTTATTTAACCGGCATGCTGGGGCAACTGGGGGTGCCAGTAAGTTAAAAATGCCGGTTAACTCGGAGGAAGGAGTTTGGAGTGTGTATGTGGGGGGATGCAGGTCATGGGCTGTGGGGCACGGGCTCTGGGAGGGAGTTTGGGTCTGGGAGGGAGCTTGGGGCAGGGGGTTGAGTTGTGGGAGGGGGCTCAGGGTGCCAGATGGGTGGGGGGTCACTTACCTCCAGTGGCTCCCTGACCCTGCTGCTCCTGGCGGAGGCACAGCCAGGCAGCTCTGCACGCAGGCATGCTGCCTCCATCTGCAGGCACCACCCCCCGCAGCTCCCATTAGCTGCAGTTCTTGGCCAATGGGCTGGGAGCCACGGAGTCAGTGCTTGGGGAGGGGGGACAGAGGCAGCATTCCTGCAGAGCCACCTGGCCATGCCTCTGTCAGCAGCAGCTGGGTCGGGGAGCTGCTTGTAGGGAGCTGCTGGAGGTGAGCGCCTCCCCCCCCCAATCCAGCACCCTGAGCCCCTCCCACACCGCAACCCTCTACCCCAAGCTCCCTCCTGGATCCAAACTCCCTTCCAGAGCACGACCTGCAGCCCTTCCCATGCCCCAGCCCTCTGCCGGCCCCACTCCAACCGCACTATAAACCAAGCTTTCAGTGCAGATCAGAAATTCCGGTTTATAGAGCTTGCCGGTTGGTGAAGTGCCAGATAAGAGCTTTTACTGTATTTGTCTTACAGCAAGAGTGAAGTAGGGTTGGTGCTAAAGTCTAGTGTAGATGGAAATCAAGTATTTTTACCAATACAATAAAAATGCTGCCCAAGTAAAAAATACCTGAACCCTGTCTCTACTATTGCTTATACAGTTCCCATGATCGGTGCAGCTGCACGACAGGTACTAACATTTGCTGTGGAGACAAAGCCATTGAATTCAGTGTGTGTTGCATGCTACGTATCTGAAGGTAGAATTTGTCCTTTAATCTCTTTAAAGCATTGCAGTGATAGACTGGACCTATTTTGGGAATAGTAGCATTTTACTATCTAAATATTGAACAGCCAATCTGCCTACTTCATGTTTGTTTTCATAAATGGAGAATGGAATCCCTGCAGGTGATGCAGCCACAGGTCTTGTGAAAAGCAGTACACAATCATATTCAATTTAT